TGCAACAACATGCTGACCATGTAAATTGTCCTGTGGGCAGCGTCCTGTGACCACTGAGGAAGGACATGAAAATGACTGCACTCCTGTGTCTAATCCACTCATACCAGGACAACACACATGTACATGCCACTACCAAGTTAGTGTCACTGCAGTGCTGAAGTTAACATCACGTCATGTGGTGCAAGACATAAGTCTCACTCACTGTGTGGGGAGGGATTTGAACCTTTAGCTCAGGGCAGTTTTGACAGCCCTCTGTCAGCTGTGCACGGCTGCAGTCCTAACAGTTCAGAGAGGTCGGACAGAGTGGGCAGTAGGTCATTTAATGAGGGCTGAATTCTGTCCCACTTTGCTGTCGCTGACCCTAAATAGAGAGGGATGCAGAGCGATTTTCATTCCCAGACTAAGTCGGCACTTTCTCAAAACCATATTTTGCGCATATTTCCTTTATCAACAAGCCATATTTTTCATATTATCCAAAATTCTTTTAAGATACAATATATGGCCAAAAGTTTGTAGACACCTGCTCATTCAAAGCCTCTTTGCTGAAGTAGCAGCCTGTACTCTTCTGGGAAGGCTTTGACTAGATGTTGGAATATTGCTGTGAGGATCTGATTGCATTCAGCCACTAGAGCATTAGTGAGGTCAGGTACTGATGTTGCATGATTAGTTCTGGATCACTTCAACTCATCCCAAAGGCAATGGATGGAGCTCCACCACTCTAGAGAATGCTAGGCTTTGTGCCCTGATGCTTGGCACTGAGTATGGCAATCTTAGGCTCATGTGCAGCTGTTCCAGAGCATCCCGTTTTATTGGTCAATGCTTTTCTATGGAGATTGTATAGCTGTGTGTGTATTTAAACTCCTGTCTCAGCAGAGTGTGCACCCTAATGCAGCTAAGTTCACTAAAAAGAAGGGGTGTCCACAAACCTTTGAACATATAGTGCTTTTTTCTGTTTTGTCTATCAATCTTAAAGAGATGGAAAGCCCGCTACATAGCGTAGGCGACAATTTTCAAACCAGCGTTACGAACATGCTTCTACCAGTCATGTGGTGAAAGTACATGTGTCACTCACTCTCTTGATCTCTCTCTCTCTTTGGCTTAAGTTCATGGCTGGAAGTCAGCTCATTAGGCAGTGTGGCAGATGATGGTGTAGTCCATTATGTAAGAGCAGCAAACCGCATTTATGTCAGTGTAAACAGACACTAAGCCCTGCAAAACCCCCCACTGGACCAAAACCCCATATTAACAACACACACACTCCTCCACAAGCATATCTGCCCTAAGCACCAAGGATGACCCAAGCCCTCAGCTTTGCTCAATGCTGCAACGTATGGTGCATGACCCTGAGGTTTACAGCAAAAGTGCGGAGTAATGATCGCATTATGACTGCTGCACGCTGCGAAAGCTGCAGAAAAACTGCCTGCAACTCCCGAACAGCATTACTGTATCACTAAAGTGTTAAGACGCTGAAGGTTACAGCAAAACTGCCACATAATGATCATGTTATGCCCTCCGACTCTCACCGTTTGACAGTTAATAGTTGCTGTGTAATGATCACTGTGCAACAGTCTTTGACATTTACAGTCAGAGCAAAACCGCTGATTAATGATCACATCCTGACCGTGCTGGAACTGAGCAGTGGGGATGGCTGAAATTTTCTACCAGGGCTGCCACGATTACTCTGCTAAACTTCATTACTTAATTAAAAAACATTAATAACAAATAAAGAGAAAATTAAATCGCATCTTTTCAATGAGCTATCAATGGCTAGCTGCTAATAAAGCATATTTTAAGCTCTCCCACTTGCTATTGCTAACAGTAAGAAACAGCCTGATGGACACACACATTTATATGCATTTTCTGCCACATGGCTTTATATATGCAACACTGTGCAAAAGTCTTAGGCTCCTAAGCAGATTATTTAAAACCATTTTTCTTAAAAAATTATATGTTTATGCTTGTAAAAGTATCATATATCATTAGAACAGATGCAAATAAACATAAATACAGTAGTTGCTATCTTGTGAGCTAGTTTGAAGAACAAAGTTTGGTTCCAGGTTTCTCTTGGACGTCCCCAGCCAGCACATGGATTGGTTAAATTCCATCAAGCGCACTTGATTTACCATAATAAAGCATTTACTAGCCCACTGGTGACCAACCATTTACTAACCCACTGGTGACCAACACTGCTCCTGGAGATCTACAGACTTCAGCTTCAGCCCTAATCAACTACTACTGATCCATCAAATTATTGCCTTCAGAAGTTCTTGATTAGCTGAATGAGATGTGTTAGATTTGCATTGGAGGTCAAATCTGCAGGGTGTAGATCTTCAGGAGGATGATTGATGACCACTAGATTAGCCAAACCAGGCACTGGATAAGAACTGCAAATAATACAGGGCTGCCACAAGGAGAGGTTTGGACATGGTTAAAAGAAAACATTAACATAAGTAAAATCACCCACATTGAATTACTTGTATTTTTTGTAATATTAGTAAACATTGCCCAAAGAATTAGCTTTTAAAATCTTTCTCTGGTGCCTAAAACCTTTGCACAGCACTGTATGCATCTTTTAATAAAAAAACTTTTTAAACTTGTTTATCTTTCATTTTAGAATCTTTTAAAGAATATGGTTTGCTACATTTCAGCTAAGTTTTTTTTGTATTGTTTGGCTTTATTTAAAACCCTCATTACTCAGTTACTAATATAATCAATAGCAATGGCCCTAATTGAAACAATAAACATACTGATATAAATTTTCCCTCCTAAATTTCTGGAATGCACCAGCCTCTTTCTGTTCCTCTATGGGATTTTCCCTATTTGTCAAGCTTTACCAGATCTGTAGCTTTCTTTTTAAAACTGGGTGGGACTTTTTAGGTAGGGGACCTGGGTAATTTCTTAAGAAAACTGTACTTAGTAAATGCTTACTGCACGTTATTCCCTTTATGTTTCTATGTTGAAGAATTCATGGCAACTAGTCTATGTATGGTTTGTTTCTGTTCTGTTTTTTTCAAATTGTTCATTCATTGTGTAAAAACTACTCAAAACTTAAATTATCATCAAATTAAATAATGGATAACTTGATTACCTACATTCCAGTAGTTAAATAAGGAGAGGAAAAAATAAGGACACATTGGTGCAAGAGGAATGTATTACCAAAATCATATAAAAAGGTTTTAATAACATTCAAGGTTCCAGCTTTATCATTTTTCACAGCCACCTCAGTCAAACCTTAGACATCCAAGCTTTGCAGGCTGGGCCTCCAGAGGATTTAGCAGTGACTTTCCCCCATAACTACTGTAAGCACTATCCTCCTTTAGGATGGCTTAACATGGTGACACAAATATAGCTGCTTCAAACTTCTGTGAAACTAAATTTCACTTGTGCTGAATAATGCAAAGCATCCTGCAACTTAAAACTGAAACTCAGACACAATATCGCAACCGCTTCAGCTCTGTGAAACACGTTTCATGAAGCAGACGATCAAAATGCAGATAGCATTGGTAAGTGAGCCAGCTAAGGTTATCATATTTCCGCATGCTTTCTAATAGATGGTGGAATGGAAATAAACTCTGCTGTTTTAATCAATTTAATCAAATAAAATATTCTGCTATGCAATACTGTAAACAGACCAAAGGGAACACCGTGGTGAAATGCTGGAACTGCTAGTGAACAATGATGAGTGAAATGGGAGGGGTGAGAACCTCCCACTGTAAAAGCTGTCTGTGCTGAGATAAAATCATCTACAAATATCTGTGTGTATATGTACATTTGTACACTTACGGTTGTGTAAATCATACACATTTTCATTGAAATATATTCCATCAAAGCTACCTCACAAACAGGTGCAAATTGCATTTTATGACTGCCCTGAAAATTACAGTGCATAGAACAGCTGCTACTGGTAGTTTATTCTGCCTTTTTAGCTTGCTGTATCATTATCTACACAGCAAGGTTATTTGTTTTCTTTTTCTGACATAAAAATGAAAAGGTTTTGAATGTAGACTAAATAACATACAGCATATTTTTTAATATAGCCAGAACGATACAATACATGAAAAATACTAGCTACTAATCTTACTTACTATAGAATAAGCAAAAGTGTTGCATGCGAATTTGATTATTTTTGAATTGCTTTGTGTAACTGTCAAGTTGCATGCAACTCTCAACTAGTTGCATGAAAGTTTCACGGTGTAAAGCTAGCCTTAGAGATCATGGGGGGGTTGTGACATTTATCTTTGACAAAGACCCCAACACACCATTCAAGTGTTACTGTAAGTTAGGAGATTAGCAGAGGCCACTTGATACAAAATTAGATGTATTTCTTGCTCTTAATTTAAAGCCTAATGTTTTTCAATGCATTTGGGCCTACGTTTATAATCAGCACATTTACCAACTATGTGGTATAGTGAGAGTTAGACTAGCTTTAAAAAACTGCTTTAAAAAAAACTATGAAACTTTCATGCAACTAGTTGCATGCTGTAAGGTGCATGCAACTTAGTTACACAAATCAATTTAAAAACAAAAACAAGTAGCATACAACAAATTTGGACTGCTCCACTATTGCAACAAAGTAGTGCTTTTTTGACCTTTTCAATGAAACTTGCTCCACGAAGACGCATGCAACTGTTGCAGCTCAAATGCAATGTAGATTTCAAGCAACTAAAGTTGTGTAAAAGTTTCAGTTTGTTAAGCCAGCCTTTAACTGGTATAGATTATTTACATTATATGAAAGTTTATCTCTAAATGGTTCTTCATACTCATGAAAATAATTTACAAAAATGCTTCTTTAAAGAACCAGTTACTGAAAGGTTCTCCAGGTAACCCAAAATTTTTTCTATGAGAAAAAATATCTCTTTTAAGAACAATTTTCTGGCACCTTTACTTTTAACAGTGCAGGGCCAATAAGCCTGTAGGCTGATGTAAAGCTTTACTGCCAGTGTAAAGCTGCCCTGTGAGGAGCCACATGAGGGTGCTGTGGAGTGAGATAGTGCTCTAACCTGTTCCTCTTTCTCCTCTTTCTCCACTCCTGCAGGACTGGCCTGCTCTCGAGATGAGCTGACTGAAAGCTGCCTCTGCAGACGCAGCACCTCCTTCTGAGACTCCTTCAACAGACGCTCAAACTCTCCAGCTGCTGCTGGGCCAGGATAGCCCTATATAGAAAGAGAGAGAGAGAGAGTGTGTGTGTGTGTGTGTGTGTGTGTGTGAGAGAGAGAGAGAGAGAGAGAGTATTAAGGAGCTGCACTTATTCTTATTTCTATGTTTTATGTGTATGTACGCATGTGCATTACCACACACAGTGGAATAGACACATAAGAAACTGAAGAATGGCTTTGGCCTCCACAAGTGATCCCTGAATCATATCAGGGTGGATGGTGTTCATTATATAAAACATAAATCTCAGTGTAAGTGTTCTATCAGTGCCAGGACTAGACTGAGTTTTAGTATGTGTTGCTCTGGAAATCGTCCAGTTTAATCAGCGAGTGCGCTGTTGCAGGACAAGGTGATAACCTTTGCTGCCATCTAGTGGTCAAATCTCTCTCTTTCACATACAGCCACATCGTTAGTCTCCTGTTCTCAGTTGCTAAAGAAAGCGATGAGTCATGCAGTCTGGGCAGAGTAAAACTCAAGGACATTCCTGCAAAGCAGCCAGTATAGAGGTTTGCACTGTGACTGACACTGTGGATACAGAATAGATCAAAAGATGCACAGACACACACAGGCACACTCGCACACACATATACACACACAAACACACACACACACACACACACATAATATACATACATACATACATACATACATACATACACATACACACATAAATATTTTGTTGGCACAAAACCTCGTGTCTGCTGATAACTTTACAGGAGAAGCAAAAAACATACTTTATTTTTAATGTAAGTCAATGGAACCAGAATTTTTTCTACGTCATTTTGGGCCATTTGTTTATGTCCATTCATCATGAATTTTATAAACATTGTAAAGGGCAACATGCATTTTCAAATTATGTCAAAAAGTGAAAAACGACAAAAATAGAGACACAAGGTTTTGTCCTGCAGCAGCGAAATATACTATATGTGATATATATGTGCGATATATATGTACATACATGTGTGTGTATATATGTAGAAATAGATAGATACATTCAAACATGTATGTACAAAAAAATATAAATAGTAATCTTTTGTAATATGCCAAATAACCACAAATTCAAAACAAGTCTCTGCTGCCTTTATTCATATCTTCATTAGCACACTAAATATTGATCTGATTGAATACTGAATGTGTGCAGTGCCAATAATGTCCAGCAGGGGGCAATCAAAGACAAAGTCAAAACACATCCAGGCCACAGAATGGAGACCAATTAGTCAGGCATGACAGCAGATGTCTACAGCCAATTAATCATTTTACCACTTTGCCAATTAATCATTTTATTAATCATATCAAAATAAGTAATTAAAACTATTTGTGGGACCAAGTGACAATAAGCAGCGTGAAGATCTGAAATCAGGGCTCTGTGTGTGTGTGCGAGTGTGTGTGTGTGTGTTGTACCTTCCCCTGTCCTATCCTGGCCTCTAGTTTTCGGCACTCCTGCTGCAGCGCGGCTATTTCTTTGTCTTTAGACAGGAGTGTGTCTGCGTGCTGCGCCAGGTCTCGCGCACGCTGCCTCGCAAACGCCCGCTTATACTGCTCTACTGCACCTGGCTTTACGGGAAGAGGAGCGTTCACCTGCAGAGAGAGACAGAGTGAGAGAGAGAGAGAGAGAGAGAGAGAGAGAGAGAGTGAGAGAGAGAGAGAGAGAGAGAGAGAGAGAGAGAGAGAGAAGCAGCAGAGAGAATGAAACGAGAGAGGGACCAAAAGAGATAATAGAGGCCGAGAGAAAGTGAACAGAGAGTGAGAAAGAGACAGAGAGAATGAAAAGAGAGTGAAAGCAAAAGAGAGAATGTAAAAAGAAAGAGAGAGAGAGAGAGAGAGAGAGAGAGAGAGAGAGAGAGAGAGAGAGAGAGTGGGAAAGTGAAAAGAGCAAGTAAGAGAAAGAGAGGAAGACAGCAAGAAAGAGAGAAAAAGAAAGAGAGAAAGCAAGAGAGACAAAGATTAAAAGAAAGACAGATGAGAGAAAGAGAGACAGGGAAAAAGAAAAAAGACAAAGAAAGAAAGAAAGAAAGAAAGAAAGAAAGAGAGAAAGGAGAGAAATAGAGACAAAGAGAGGGAGAGAAAAAAAAAGAAAGATAATGGGAGAGAGGGGGAGGGGGAGAAAGAGAGGGAGATAGGGAGAGAGAAAGAGAAAAAAGAAAGATAAAGGGAGAGGGGGAGGGGGAGGAAGAGAGGGAGATAGGGAGAGAGATAAAGGGAGAGAGGGGGGGAGAAAGAGAGGGAGAGAGAGAAAGCAACAAAAAGATAGATGGGAGAGGGAAGAGGGGGAGAAAGAGTGAGAGGGAGAGAGAGAAAGAGAAAAAAGAAAGATAAGAGAGGGGGAGGAGAGACAGAAAGACAGGGAATGAGAGAGAGAAGGAAAGAGCGAGAGACAGAGAGAGAGAGAGAGAGAGAGAGAGAGAGAGAGAAAGAGAAACAGAGGGAGAGAAGAGAAACAGTTGTTGTGAACTGCTGTAAACCTGCTCAGTGTATTTCGCTGCTGTAAGTGGTTTAATAAACACTCGTAACTGTCCTGTAAAAGCTTCTGCTGCTCTGCCTGTGCTGATGAGATGTTTTACTAGTATTAAAACAAGTCCGTGTCAGAGATGGACATCTTGAGCCATTTTCTAGCCAAATACCCGGACACTTAAAAAGACAAAATCTTACTCAAACATTAAACATGAACGGTTGGACGTGCATGGAATTAATTTCATTATTTGATCATAATCTTATGAAAAAGTGCTGGGCTTCCTTTACTTTGTTATGAGGCAAATTAGGCACATGACAAAAAAGATAAATAATCTTCATCATCAAAAAATGATAAAGCTGATGAAGTTGATCAAGTGCTTCATCTCCTCCTTTGCACAGAGTGACAACACTGAGCCTTACAGAACAAGATACAGTCGGTAAAACAGTGGCTTGCGGTTGCGGTTGGTTGGTTTGCATGTCAGTCAAACAGACTCTTCCTATTAAAGTGGGCAGTTCTCATCTACACTGAGTGATGAAATCCACCAGACTGCCTTGCAATACTGCCATGGCCTGAATTGTAACTCCAAGCTTTATTGGTTTTTTCCGGGCCCAGGCAATGCAAAATCAACATGTGAATTCTGAGCAGTATTTTGCTTGTCAGCTGGCCGGGTATGTAATCAGTACTCATGCCCATCCCAATTCTGTGCGTCTGCACTACGGCAGAAAGAGCAGCGATCAAATGAAATTAGTGCTTCTTCAACCATTAACCCCTGTGCATGTGTGTGTGTTGCTGGCCTGGCCAGGGGGCTGTAGCTCACACGGGACTGTGAAGAGTAACAGGTGCTGTACAGTAACAGCCAGCCAATCGCCACGGCCACCAGAGAGCAGACAGGTGGCCATGCAGGTGGCCCTGTGGAATATAGTTACACCACCCCACACATACTGGGTTTTATACAGTGTCATATGTCCCATGTGTATTATACATATCTAAGTATTTAAATGTAATACTAATATGCTCCATTTCTATTATACACAAGTCCCCATATGTAATACTAAGGTCCCATATATAATGTATATGTAAGTATATATTTGTAATATGTAGCATATATAATACACATATAAGGACTTGTATGTAACAATGTCCTATAAGACTTAATGTACAAAACATGGTAACTCCAAAATGGTAACTTTACAGGAGAAAGAAAAAAAACAACTTTACTTTTAATGTAAGTCAATGGAACCAGACTTTTTTCCAAGACATTTTGGGCTGCTTCTTCTTGGTCTATTCATCATGAAATTTACATACAATGTAAAGGACAACAGGCATTTTCAAATTATGTCAAAAACTAAAAGCATCAAAAATGGAGATACGAGGTTTTGTTCTAACAACAGCGATATGTAAGTATCTATATGTAATATACCCTCTATATATGTGTGTGCATGTGTGTGTGTGTGTGTGTTTGTGTGTAAATTTCAGCTGATGAGTAATTGTATAAATAATCAAGATAAATGTCTGTTTTGTTTATTTTAGGCAACTAATAAAGTGTAGGTTTAAAGCAGCTAAACCGGCGTATTATCTATCTTCATCAGCTCTTATTATTGATCTTACTTTGCAGCTAAAAAGAGATGATACATTGCACTGTACTACGGGTAACAAGTGTCTACAGTTACACAGTCAACCAAAGCTTACATTTTTCTCCTGACACTGTGAAAATGTGAGTGAAAAACACTTGTTCTGCAAGCACAGAACAGCATTAGCTATACTATCTATCAAATTAAAAAACAAACTAAAAGCGTTATAGCACAAAGTTTAAAAGATATAACCTTAAGCTAGAAGAAGAAAAGTCAGAAGAAAGAAGTCATTTCTTTCATTTATATTTATTTGGGTCAAGCCAACTATTGAAAACACACCTGGCTCATATTTTATATGTGTATATATATATAATATGTCCCATATGTATTATGTATATGTAACTGACATGTATCATATATAAGTAACTAACTATATGTAATATCTCCCATACGTATTGCATATAAGTACCTACTTGTAATATTATGTCTCATACATATTTCATTTATACTTCATGTACATGAAAGTTCTTCTGCTTCATGAACACACACACCTTGGAATGTAGATCTCTTTCCATCTTCTCTCTTTCTCATCTCTATCTTTCCATCTCTCACTCATCCACTTCTCTGCAGTGAGTGTAAGTGGTGGTACATTTCACTTTCTCATCTTATCTCTCTCACACCGCCCCCCACCCCCTCCCACACACACACACACACTCATCAGAAATGTCTTACCCACTTCAAATCTATACTGAACGCCCTGCGGCTAGTTTTACACAATATTATATAACCAGGTTTGTTGTGTGAAATCAAAGGCTGTGTGAAACGAGAGCTGACGTTGAAACACAGCAGACCCTCAGCCTCTAAATGGCCGAGTAGACTAGCCGCTGCTCACTCTCTGAGATTTCATTTATGTCCCTGTAACTACCAATGATTACTCAATCTGCTGTGAGCAGCAGAGGACTCTAATTAATAAACAAAAGGAGCCATTCAGAGGAGCTCCAGTGTAGTTCATTAGGGAACGGCAGGGTCAGCTTCACTGGCAGCATTACTGCTGGACACAGTGTTGCAACTCTGAGAACAAACAAAAATAAGGGCCAAAGAGGGGCGGAGGGATTGATTGGTGCTGTTGTGCAAGTGAAGTCTGCGTGACATGTTGTGTGTTTAAAAGGTCTAATATTCTGAAAAGCAGGGAAATGAATGGGCTGTACCTTGTAAACAATTTGAGAGCTTCAAAACGAGGTAAACAACCACACAGAATTCCAGGGTCAATGCGATAACTGACACTGAACACCTTATAGTGTATGATACCACTAGGAATAACCAATAATATTAATATAAATACTAATTTTACAATTTCACATTGCTTTATATAGATATTTCACATTATTTACGACTTTCTTATCGAAAGCTGTTTAGAAAAGTAACTGAGAATCTTGCACAAGGACTTTTACTGAGGTCTCCTCTTGACCAAGGACTTTTATTGTGGTGTTCTTTTTTGGTATAGCAGTGATGTGACAAATATGGCAGAGAATAGACTTTCCGTCAATATATATTACGCACCCCTAATCAAAACAGTAAAATGAAGGAAATCTACACAGTTACTTTAAAACACCTCATGGTTGTGACATCATAACCATGGATAAATTCGCATATGTAACAAACTTGTGTCAGCCTTTAAGGCAAGTTAAAGAGGAAATAACAACACAAAATAACAAAGACATCAAAAGCATGGCTGAATCATGGTCCATCAAATGCTTACCATTATATAGCTATTGAAGAGTTTTTGCCAGCTTCTCAACAGGTTTGGTTACAACCTTAGTCCAGCACACCCAGCTCTCATATTCAGCTCCTCCTGAGTTTACTTAGCTGGATTAGGTGCATTAGATTAGGTTTGGGTCTTAAGTCTGCAGATGCAGTGGTTGGAGATACCTGCTGTAGCACCTCAAATGGAACCCCAGCTGATTGTGGATATGGGTTTTAAATGAGGGATATCAGCTTTGCTCATAAGGAGTGATGTTTAAAAAGCTTTGTGTGTGGGATGTGTACCACTTTAAGGTTGGCCTCCTGCAGCTTTCGCGCCCTCTCCTCCAGGCGCTTAGCAATGACAGCCAGCTCTGTGTTCTTCCTCCTCAGCCTCTTCACCTTCTCTTCTGTCTCAGGACAACTGCTTTTCCGCTAAGAAAGGGAAAGCGAGATAGATAAGATACTAAAAGATGAGGAGACAGAAACAGATATGGCACATATGCAGCACTGGGCAAACATCAGAGACCACCCTTCATTTATTTAATTTATTTCAAGACAAATCGGCCATTAAATACAAGTTGTAAATATTTTAGCAGATACAACCCCAATTCCAAAAAAGTTCGGACGCTGTGTAAAATGTAAATAAATGTAAATAAAAACAGAATGCAGTGATTTGGAAATCTCATAGACCCATATTTTATCCACAATATAACATAGAACACATATCAGATGTTGAAAATGAGACATTTTACCATTTCATAAAAAACATTAACTTGTTTAGAACTTGATGGCAGCAACGCATCTCAAAAAAGTTGGGACAGGGCCATGTCTACCATTGTGTTGCTTCCCCTCTTCTTTTAACAACAGCCTGTAAACATCTGGGAAGTGAGGAGACTAATTGCTGGAGTTTTGAGAGAGGAATGTTGTCCCATTCTTGTCTGATGTAGGATTCTAGCCGCTCAACAGTCCTGGGTCCTCTTTGCCAGATTTTTTGTTTCATGATGCACCATTGTTTTCTATTGGTGAAGGGTCTGGACTGCTGAAGTCATGCTGTTGTGATGGATGCAGTGTGTTGTTTTGCATTGTCTTGCTGAAATATGCAAGGCCTTCCCTGGAAGAGACGCTTCTGGATGGGAGCATATGTTGTTTTAAAACCTCTATATTGATAGTGTCTTTCCAGACGTGTAAGCTGCCCGCACCATTGGCACTAACTCCATTCCATCAGAGATGCAGGCTTCTGAACTGTGTGCTGATAACAAGCTGGATGGTCCCTCTCCTCTTGAGTCCACAGGACATGGCGTCCGTGGTTTCCAAAAAGAATTTCAAATTTTGATTTATCTGACCACAGAACAGTTCTCCATTTTGCCTCAGTCCATTTTAAATGAGCTTGGGCCCAGAGAAGACGGCAGCATTTCTGAATCGTGTTGATATATGGTTTCTTCTTTGCATGATACAGCTTTAACTTACATTTGTGTATTGTATGGCGAACTGTGTTCACAGACAATGATTTCTGGAAGTGTTCCTAAACCCATGCAGTGATTTCCAGTACAGAATCATGCCAGTTTTTAATGCAGTGCCGCCTGAAGGCCCAAAGATCACGATCAAGATCAAGATCAAGATCAAGATCATCCAATACTGACCATCGGCCTTGTCTCTTGTGTACAGGGATTTCTCCAGATTCACTGAATCTTTTGATGATATTATGTACTGTAGATGATGGGATATCCAAAGTCTTTGCAATTTTACGTTGAAGAACATTTTTCTGAATTGGTTCCACAATTTTTAGACGCAGTTTTTCACAGATTGGTGAACCACTGTCCATTTTTGCTTCTGAGAGACTCTGCCTCTCTAAAATGCTCTTTTTATACCCAGTCATGTGAGTTAGCTGCAAATTGCTCCTTCAGCTTTTTTTTATAGGTACCACTTACTTTTCAAGCCTTTTGTTGCCCCTCTCCCAACTTTTTTGAGATGCATTGCTGTCATCAAGTTCTACATGAGTTAATGTTTTTCATGAAATGGTAAAATGTCTCACTTTCAACATCTGATATGTGTTCTATGTTCTATTGCGAATAAAATATGGGTCTATGAGATTTGCAAATCATTGCACTTCTAGGACTGAACTTTGGCGATGTCGAAATATATCTCTGCAGATTTCTTTGAAAAACTGAAAGCAAGCCTCCCAAAAAGAATGGAAACTGTAATAAACGCAAAGTGTGCACACAAATACTAAAATATTTACATTATATTCAGTTATTGAGGCTTCTTTGTGATTTTATCTTAAAAATATGTTTTCTGATGTGAACTCTGGTGCTTATCTCCGTCTGGTCTGGTTCTGTATCTTCGCACACCAAGCATAGGCTAAAGAAAACGGCACAAAGGGCAGAGAAAACTATTGGCTACCGGCTCTTCACTCTTGAAGATCTTAACTCATTTAGGACAAGGGAGAGGGCAGGGAAAATCATGGCTGACCCTTCACACCCTAGTCACTCTCTCTTCCAGTGGTTTAAATCACAGCGGAGTCGAAGAGTGAGAGCCCTAAAGGACCAAATGCCACAGCTTCTTTCACCAGGCCATCATCCTCATAAACAAGGACACTTCTCACACCCCCCTGCTTTAAACAGCTGTCCATGCATTTCATTACACACACTAATGCACATAACCACTGTATATACCATACCATAAGCCTTTTGAGTAAGAACCTTTCCACTTTCCTCCACTGTAGTAAGCACACCTACGCACTTTAACTTATTGCAATATACATATTTAATAAATATATTTGTATTACACTTTACATTACACCGACTGACCACTTCATTAAGTATACCTCCTTGTATCTACACTCATTGTCTATTTCATCAGCTCCACTTACCATATAGGTGGACTTTAAAGTTCTACAATTACAGACTGTAGTCCATCTGTTTCTCTGCATACTTTCACCCTGTTCTTCAATGGTCGGGACCCACAGGACCACCAACCAAAAATCTCCAGCGAACAGCGTCCTGTGAGCAGCATCTTGTGACCACTGATGAAGGACTAGTGACTAACACAAACCGTGCAGCAACAGATGAGCTACTGTCTCTGACTTTATATCTACAAGGTGGATCAATGAGGTAGAAGTGTCTAATAGAGTGGACAGTGAGTGGACACTGTGTTTAAAAACTCCAGCAGCACTGCTGTGTCTGATCCACTCGTACCAGTGCAACACACACTAACACACCATCACCACGTCAGTGTTACTGCAGTGCTGCTCTGTTGGGGCCCTATGGGGACTCCTGAGCATTGAAGAACAGGGTGAAAGGGGTCTAACAAAGTATGCATAAAACAGATGGACTACAGTCTGTAATTGTAAAACTATAAGGTATCTACCATCTACATGGTAAGTGAACCTGAGAAAATGGACAATGAGTGTAGAAACAAGGAGGTGCACTTGAACTGGCCAGTCAGTGTACTTGATTATACAGCCATTATATTACTCAGATTGTTTGTGTACTGTCTATTTCATGTTTATATATACACTATATCTTTTTATATATTTAGTTTATTGTACCTTATTTAATGTTGACACCTGCATCAAGAGAACTGCTACGTCCATCTGATACTTGGCGATTAAATATTCTGATCCTGGAAAATGAACAACTTGTACTTTCTTGACTGAAAATTAAATAAAGGGTGGTCCCTGACTTTCACACAGAACTGTAAAGGCCCAAACTGCATATAAACAAGAAGAGCTGCCCCCTTCAAGTCAACCACTCAAGTAATGCAACTTACATCTTCCTTTTATCACTATACTGTTTCTATTCTATTTCTTTTCTATTTCTATTCTGTATATAACTTACAGGAGGAATCATCCCCTTTCCCCTTGTAACAGCATTACAACAGAATCCTTTAAACTGGTCTAAAATCAGCAGAGCACACGAGTTCTTTACCAGCAGGCTGTTCTCCTCTCTGAGTGTGGAGCACGTCTTCTCCAGCTCCTCCAGCGCCCTCAGCAACTCCGAGTTCTGCCGCACCAGGAAGCCGTAATCCGTGCCATTCTGCATGAGACAGAAAAGAGCTTTTTACTCATCAGTGCATAGATTCACATTTGGTAAGAAACTGTTTCAGTGGCATTACGGCATCTGTAAAAAGTATATTAAAACAGAATCAATTCTGAATTACTCTGGATTTTGATGTATTAGTCCCATCTGTGTGACTCTCTCTCTCTCACACACAGCATTTTTTCCCTCTGCTGTCAGCTACCAGTGTGTGGGTCTCTCGCTGCTAACTAAAAGAACACCTCCTCTGAGGGGTGACAGCTTAAATAGAGGCTTTTATTGGAACAGCTAAATCAGCCCAGTGCAAACAGAACAGCATATTATACTGCCACATCCCATCACAACACAGACAGGAAGAAAAAAGGCGAGAGACATAGAGAGAGAGGGAAAGAGAGGCAGAATAAATATGAAATAAAAGGAATCTCAGGCGCCTGCTGAGTAAGTGAAAATTCACGTTTCTTTTCCTACTGAATGTCACTCACTACATACAATGTAATCCCATACAAGGCCTCAGCTTTTGCCTTCAAAAGTGTGTCACTGAACATGAGCTGCTCAGGACAGAGAGGACCATTTGAGAGAAGCTCTCATTCATTTGCATTCAGTTCAGGCAATCTTCACTCCAAGAATAAAGGCACACCTAAGCAGTTTTATTCTGCCATATGACCCTGTCCTCTTCTACAGAGACTGGACTTTCTGTCATTTTATCCACAGGCTTGACCGTCACTTTATAAAATATAGAAGTAAGCCGCGACTAAAAAGACAGTGCTGTAATGTTTGAAATACTCCCTGGGTCTGCTGTACAATAATAAATAATGCTAATAATAATAATCACAATAATAATAATAACACACATACATACATGCATACATACATATATGTTTAATATAATTCATAAAAAATAATTTTTATAAAAAATCATTTTTATAAACTTTTCATTTATCATGGAAATATTTATTTCTTTATTTTTTCTTGATTATTTGATTTAATAATAACAATAATAATAATAATAATAATAATAATAATAATAATAACAATAATAACAATGAATGTCCCTTTTTTTAAATTAATAATTTGTAGGAGCTAAAATTCATCATGTGGTGAAAGTGTACCTGATGGTTGTGATGTTTTATGAATTACTGTTTTTTAACTTTTTATTTAACTAAACTTTAAGATAACCCCTAAAGATTATAAGATGCGATTTTCAGTATTATTAACTTTTATTTACTTTTATTATTTGCATGCTGGTGACTGGGGTTCAAATCCCTGCATTGCTAGCAATATTAGCATTTTTGGCTGTCTTTGGTAAAACTTAACACTATGTTTTTTAACCTGAAACATGATTACACTGAGTTTACATACACTTAATAATCCGATCATTATCAGATTTCAGCAGTTATCTGATCATTCAAGTGGTAAATGGCATACTCGGATTTCTTCAATCGGATTAAGGCCTAGAAATCTGATGAAGGAATCAGACAAAGAAAGCTGGATTTTAGTTCTGTAATCAGGTTTTCAGTGCATGTAAACCCTCACTCTGATTTCTTTCGTCCTTCTCAGTCTATGCATGAGCGAAACCACAGCACTGTCCTGGAAATAGCTAGCAGCAGTTAACACAGCACCCCCGAGATGACAACAAAACTCTTTTGAAGTGATGCTGAAACCAACTACATACTTGACAAAATAAAGAATTTAAATGTTCTTCATCTTCTAGATGATGTATTGTCATATTTTCTGATTAAGTGACTCAATGTTTAAAAAAAAGCTGAGGCATCATGATGAGTCACGTCTTATTCCGGGAGTTATTCCGTGAATCTGATTATTGCTGGAGTTTTCCGACTATGTGATTACCCAAGTACATATAAACGTACAAAAAAACAGACAAAATCTGATTTTCTGCAGTTATAAGATTATTAAGTGCATGTAACAGTCTTTCTTGCAGTGATTGCAATATATAGTAAATTCATTTTTAATGAATGAAGTTCAGTCCATGTTAATGCACGCATAGCACAAGACCCTCCTTCTCCCACTTTGATTTAATGCACCTAACATGCCTAGTTTTGACCACTGCTGGTGCTTTTGAAAGAGACGGCTGTACTGACGAGAGAGTTTTTAGTAAAAGTACATTACTGTGAACACATTTTTCCAATTTTCTAGTATTGAAATTGTTATGCTCTTAATTACGGTTATAAATTAAATCACACTGCTCAGTTTAGATGACAGAAATACAAGACCCTCCAGTCGACACAACAGATAACAGATCCCTTGCCAAACTAACTCAAACCCCCAACGTTGATATCACTGACAGTCTATGTTATCAATCCAACAGCCTCCACTTCTGTCGGCCCCTCGTTGGCCCCCCTGCCTGGTGCCGCTGTGCTCTGCTTGTTATCTCCAGTGTTAGCCAGCTGGACTGGGCTGGAGGTGGCAGCTTTGATTTCACCACATCACTGACACTTCAGTGTCCAGATTCATGGTGTGTGCATGTGATTACTGACCAGAGCCAGCTGGACCTGGGGGATACCCGTGCCCTCCATATCCAACCGAGAAACAGAATGGAGAATGAGCTTGCCTCCTCTCATATACTGTTCATTAGAGTGGAGCACTCTGGGGGTTTTAGAGGACATACTCAATGCTAATATAAATCACTGACCTCACAACGATTCCATTCAGTCATGATTCTCCAGAAAACGACTCAATGAATCATGAAGTTTTAAGATGACAAGTTTGATTAGGTTATTTTGGTACAATTAAAATAAATGGAAAAAAATGCAAAATGAACGTGAATGGAGGAAATTTAGTAGTGAAACATAGAAAACAAAAACAATATGCAATACATTTTGATTTTTATAAATAGAGCATTTCATTTTGGTCAAAAAATGACTGAATTATAATCGATCATTACATTTCAAAATCAATACAGCAGAGCTGCCAATAAATCAGTGCAACATGAGGCATCAATGTATTTTAACCGCCACCTGAGCATACATCAACAAGGGAGTAGAGATGGCATATCAGTTTCAATGGGTATCGTTATCAGGCTGATATCAGCAGAAAATGCAAGACTGGAAATTAGAGGGGAAACACTCGATTTACACACTGCAATCACAACCACAAAAAATCCATACACAACACATTCAACTGCTCACAAGCAGAAAACATCATTTTGTTTACTGTAACCATTTACCTAGTTGTCTTAAGTAAATACAGTGTATCATTAGCAGTCTCAATAATTTGGGAATTTACTGGCAATAGTCAACTTTACCACACAAAATCATACTTTTCTCTGTCAGTTCACATGTTTAAATGTCCAGAGTGGTACATTTAAAGTAAGAAGATACACGGTGGCTTGATTTGGGCCATAAAGAATATAAATAAGCTCTTCTTCAAGTCATACTTCAGTCATAAAATCACGAACGTGCCAGCCGTCCACACTCAACCTAAATACAGCAATTAGCTTACTTTGTTTGCTATTGTTTCACAGTCTCTCTAGAAACTTCTTATATATATGATGGTTAGGGGTGGACAATACGACGATATTATACTGATATTGTGATAATGTCACAACATGCTTTTCTGAGCATGTCGTGGCTATCATCAATACTTAAAGAACAATGACCAACTACATGGTTTATTAAAAAGAGAGCATACTAGCGATGCTAGTCAGCGCAGGTGTCTGTTAGCTGACGTAACAGATCTGGCGGTCGGCGCTTTCCTCCGAGAGCGTTCGGCTGTCCAATGACGCTGTGTGAGCTGCAGTTTGAAAAGATGCAGTGATGCTTTACAGGTCTCGGAGGAAGCCTGTGCTAGCCTTCACCCTCCTAGTGCTGGTTGTATTGTGTGATTGTGGGAGTCCTAACAAGTGGGTGGAATTGGACATGACTAAACTAGGGAGAAAACTGGGGAAAAAATCCCCCCCAAAAAAGAGCATAATTAGGCCTGTTCCATTTGATTTAGTGCACTGCAGTTTGCAGAACACTAAAAAAATCACTGTAGTTGTGAGTTTTGTTTTTATTATTGTTGTTATTGTTATATGATACATATTGTGTATCATAAAAACCTTGGAGTATCGTGATATAATTTTTTTTTTGCCATATCGCCCACCTCTAATGGTAGTGCAGACTAGAGTGCTTGCTCTGATAGTGAATGATGTCTCACAGTAACTGAGCCTTTAACCCTTTCAGACACAAATTATGTTCCAGGGCACCCTGCTGATGATAATGCTTCATTCTTATGCTAAATGCAGCCATAAATGATGATATAATAAATGTTAACTAATGTTTTTAATTACTATTTACTAGCTATTTCGGGGTCCATTACAATGCACGCTGGTTCTGAAGAGCAGCAACATTCCAGCATTAACATATAATAATTTCAAGAGTTACTGCAAGAAAACCTGAACACAGTTTGATTTTGCAGAGATTTGTTTTGCATTTGAAGAATTCAGTTTATTACAAGGAATGAAGTGATGCTTTAAAACACTGCGTAACTATTGATGCACATATTGTCAAAGATACTGTTCACATAAAGGGATGTATAGACTGTAGGTGTGTTTGAATGCATTGAGTCTGAGTGTTTAACGTGTGTGCGCATTCACAATGTACTAAGCGTGTATTCAGTGCATTGATATCCAATTCCAAAGAAAAATGTAATGTAAACAAAGCAGTTAAATATTCTGGATGGTTAGCTTCATTTTGGGACAGCTGACAATATCTTTCAGGGCGGATCTGTGACGGTTCTGAAAATTTACTCTGAAGCCCTGATTAGGTATTATTACAGCAGTATAGTAAAGCCAGAATCTTTAATAACTTAAGAGCATGTGGTCCATAAAAAACTGACTGATTCTGATGGCACTAAAATCACCAAGATACTCTGATAATAATGACATTACCCGATCTCCGCATGTACAACTAATTCCATTCAATGGTACTAAATACTACATCAGTACATTGTACATCGTACTTAACTTATCTTTTTACATCTCTGCTGTGGAATAAGCTGTA